GGACCCACAGGAGAAAGGCAAAGCACACTTCATGATCAGGGCAGGGACAAGCGAATTGGAAACTTATCTTTAGAGTTCACAAAAAGACTGCATGGACAGGAGGCAGCCCAGCCTGAACTGTCTCTTCTAAACTCGGCTCTCTTGAGCAGATGCCCGGGGCATCTCCACACTGAGCATCCGGGTCCTGCACTCTGTGGATTCTGGGGGACACCTCCCCAGAAAAAAAAGACTTAAGTGCGAGGGCGTGGGGTAAGAAAAGGAGAATCAGATAAAACTCACTGAGCTGCAAAGAAACCATTCTACTGTAAGGGTAGAACGGCCCTGAGCACTCAATAAGCATCTGTACCTCTCGTAAATGTGCCATTGTATGAAGAATCCAACCCCACAGCTGGTATTCAGGAGAAAAGAATGCAAAGTCCCTTTCCCAACAGAAGAATGTCACTTTGGGCCAGACAACTTCATGGACTCCATGACCTGTTCAATTATAGCTTGGGAACATTACAGTGTATTCTGGGACAAGTGAACATGTTCTTTGCTTGATGCGAATCCAAGCATTCCAAGGAAAAATTTTAATCTGGAGGCGGCAGTTTTCTTTATGTTCACGATACATTGTTCACTTAAACTCCACTGGTTGACTTAGAAGACTTTGGGCTGAGGGACAGAAGTGCATACCTCTGTCGTGCATGACTAGAAATTCTCTTGAACACTGTGAGGAGCTCTGCTCAAAGAAAGGGGGGGAGGTTATTTTTCATTCTATAGATATGTTGAGCGCACATATTCATTTTATTTTTACACAATAAAAAGATCAAACCGACTTGCTCGCCGTGGATTGTTTTCCCCCTCAGGACAGTTAGGTACAGTGCAAAGACAGAAGTAGATACAGAATTGGGTGTTACATGGTCAACCACAAAAGTACCCTGGCTCTGAAAGGTGCTATGTACAGCAAAGATCCGCAGGTTTCCGAGCCTGCTTCCGCAGACCTCACCATCCTCCTGGAGACCCCACCCTTCCCAAGTTGGAGATAAATTAGGGCCTGCCCTTTTGTCTTTTTTTTTTTTTTTTTTTTTTTTTTTTTTTTTGATTTTTTGGTTCCTCCCCTTTTTTTTTTTTTTTTTTTTTTTTTTTTTTCTGATGTTTACCTTTGTGCGTTAGCAGCATCCTTAAAGACACTTGTGGCTGTTTGCTGCCAGTAGCTTAGCTGAGGCAGGCCAGGCCAGCTGGTTCCCGGAATAACCACCTCATTCCCTCAACAAATCTAGCAGAAGACATCAAGCCTGGACTTTTTTTTCCCACGTCAGCGGAGAGATGTGTGCTGTGTGCACCAGAAGGAAAGGGGGGCTTATATTTCCTATCTCTTGTATCCAAACAGTTTCTGTTTCTGTATGCTGATGGAAGGAAAATCAGGGTAGGAAAAAGATGTGGAGTGTGAGACACAGTTGCGTCCCTTCCCCCAGTGGCATCTGCGCTGGTTCATCGTTTGCTGTACTTACAGAGCCCGGCTGAAGAGTGGGCAGTTAGAATCTAATGTTGAATTTTAAATTAGAGCAATACAGTTGCTCAGCTCTCAGATCCCCACGCTGCTGCGTCCCCTGGCTTTTCAGGAATTCACGTGGGCTTTCAGAAGATAAGGCCCAGCTGGCTGCGCATGAGGATGGTAGCACTGGCTGCTGGGCCTTAACGGCCTCAATGATAAACATGGCGTAGTGTAATGGATAGTTGTGCTAATCTCTGGGAAAATTCAAAATCCTCTCCATTTCTTCCCACATTTCATACTACTTCCCTCCCATTTTAGAACCTTACAGAGAAGCCTTACCACCCGCTTACGATTTTCAAGGGATTTTAGTCATGTATTAGTGTCCACAGGGACTGACCCCAGGGTCCCCTCTGATACTGAAATCTGACAGTGCTCTGGTCTCTTGTATAAAATGGCATGGTATTCATGTATAACATATCCACATACATAACTCCTGTATACTCCACCTCTGGCTTACCTATTTCTAACATAATATAAGTGCTATGCAAACAGTTGCTGGAATGTATGTTTAGGGAACACTGCTAAGAAAAGGCCTGACTTTGTTCCATGGTCAAATGCATTTCAGTCCTCAGTGGAATGACGTGCAGAAGCTGCAGCTAGGGAGGGCAGACTGTTCTCTCTTGATCCTTCCCACAGGCCTGCAGGGGAGGAAAGGGGGGTGAGGCTGGAAGCCTCAACTTCATTCATCAGATAAACTGTCTAAGGCTTAGACTGGAATCTGGTATGCAAATTCAGGGTTCATTTGCATTCCTCTTTGTCCCTCAAAATTCTCATCTCTGCACCCCAAGAGGATGATAATCAAAGTTCCAGAAGGGCAGCCTGAAGCTCCGATCAGGAGCCAATGAGAGGGGATCGTCAACAAGAGGTGTTCAGTCTCAGCCCACCTGTTGGCTCTCACTGCCCTGTGCAATCTGCAGATCTTCCAGACTTCTAAGAAACCTGGCTGGGCAAACTAGTTCCATCCATACAATCAAAATGCTGGGGCCACTCTGCACACTGACCTAGGGCTATCACTGGCATTCAGTAAACGAAACCAACAAGATGCTTGGTGGTATGGATGCTATGTTTATGTTTGTGGGAAAAAGAGAGAGAGAGAGAGAGAAGGTGCAACTCAGATTTGGATGTTTTAGTTGCATAAAGAAATTCTGGAAAGTGGGCTGAGCAGATGGCTCAGTGGGTGAAGTGACTCACAATCATGACCTGAGCCTAGATTCCCAGAACATGTGTCAAAAACCAGGCTAGGTGGTGAATGCCTGTGATCCCAGGGCTGGTGAGATGGGAGGCAGTGACTGGTGGGTCCTCGGAACCAGAGTTACTAACAGTAGGCAGTTAGTCAAGCCTTTTCCGTGAGGTTCCCATCTCAGACAAAAGGTAGACAACACCTGAGCAATGAATGCCACCTAAGGTTGTGCTCTGACCTTTATACGTATTGGAGACACATGCCCACGCATACCCACCCCCCACACAAACGTGTACAGAGAAAAAGAGGCAGAGGAAGCCAAAGGAGTATATTAGAAACCTATAAAAATGCTGGGAGTTGTGGTGTCTTGGTAAAAATTTGAGGCCATCTAGATTACTCAGCAAGACTGTACTTTAGGAGTGGGGAGAAGAACATGATTGAAATTTTTCAGTTTAGACTTCATAACATTGATTTCTTTTTCAAACTTTTCATTTGAAATTTCACAAGAAGTCACCAGGGTAGTATGTTGTTATAAAGAATGAAAATCCCAAATTGTTCAGTTTTTATCAATGAAGATTCAGGAGCCAGGTGTTGGGGTGAAAACCTGCTAGCTCAGAGAGGCAGAGAAAGCACCCAGCTGACCTTCCCAAGGCAGAAAGCTTGCTAGCTCAGCTGACAGCCCAGGAAGCAAAAGCCAAAAAGCTCAAAACTAAAAGTCCCTCCTTTCTGTTTAACCCCTGGTAGCTGGTTTCTTGCTCTACCTCTTGACCTAGGGTTAACTTTATTAAATCCCATGTACGGAAAGCTCTTGGATTAAAAGTGTGTGTTAGGGCTGAGCCATACCAAACAAGTAACAGGTTTTTTTACAGTTCACAATGGGATCAAGTAACCCTGCAGCAACAGTACAGCTTGATCTTTCGCACTCTTCAGTAGCTTTCTGCAGTTGTGGTGTTTGAAGGGAGGGTATGAGATCCAGAGGAATGATGGTCTTCAGAGCATGTGCAGATCCCATCTGCTGTACACACACCCACCTGTGCATGACTCTGAGCACAGAAACACCCCATCCCGGCAGACACCTCTTTATAGCCACACCCGCCCCCTTCGTCCTCTCTCACCCCACTTACCCCTGACTCCTGTCACCACCTGTGTGCCACACTCCAGAACGCCATCCCGCTGAAACTGCTCCTCAGATAGAACCACACGTCATGGAACTTTTTGAGACCAGAACTTTTTTATTTTTCACTCATAATTACCTTGACACTCATCTAGGTTGCTGCCTGTCCATTCCTCTTTATTGCTGGGCAGGGCAGGGCATTCCTGGAAAGGGTGTGCCACCTGACCCATTCACGGCTCAAGGGTAGATTCTCCCAGCATTTAGTTGCAACAAATAAAGCTACCACTGGGAAGACTCATGAACATGTTTCTGTGTTGACATTAATGTTTTTTTTTTCTTTTTCTGTTTTTAATTTAATAATGAGAGGTTGATTCTCATTATGTAGCCCAGGCTGGCCTCCTACTCCAGGCTCTCCTCTTCAAATTACCGAGTAACCTCTTGTTTCTTTAGGGTAAATAAATGCCTAAGGGTACAATGGCAGGGCCACTTGGCACACGTTTAACTGTTTTAACTCTCCTAAGCCAGTTGCAGTAATCTGAATACTTGGGAGGCTGAGGCAGGTTGATAGGTAGTTCAAGGCCAGCCTGGGCTACAAAGCAAGACCCTGTGTTTTAAAAAAAAAAAAAAAAATTGTTTAAGTCTCCAAATTTTTCAGATCGACATTTGATTTTTTATAAGAATATTTATTTTTATTTTATGAGTATAAGGGTCTTTCATGTGCACTGTTTGCATAGCTGGCGCCTGCTGAGGTCAGAAGAGGGCACTGGACTCCCCGGAATAAGATTTACAGAGGTTGTGAGCTGCCACGTGGGTGTTAGGAGCCAACCCAGGTCCTGCGCAAGAGTTACAAAAGCTCTGAGCCACAAGAGCTCTGAGCCGGGGGTCCACCCACCCACCGGGCAGTGATTTTTTTTTTTTAAAGAACATTTTAGAAACAGAGGAGCAGGGCTGAGGTTGTGCACACAACCCTCGGAGCACTGGCCTAACGTCACACGTCCTGGCTCCCACCGTAACACCAGGACTTTTTAAATGACTTTTTTTTTTTTTTTTTTAACACAAAACCAAGAATGTCGATAAGGTTGCTGAATCCTACCGGTCATCCTCGGATCCCGGCGCTCCCTAGCTTGGCCTGGTTGCGTGATCCAGCCTTAACCCCGACTCTCTTCCCCTAGGTGTGGTGCAGATAGTGGAGATGACCTTGAACGGCATGGTTCTCATGTGCGTCGTGGCCTCCTACTTTGTCCTGGCTGGATTCAGCGCCAGCTTTGCCAGCGGCAGCGGCTTCGGGAATAACTACTACTCACCTTTTGAGGGCAAGGAGCTGGAGCAGGTTCGGCAGCTGGACCAGCAGTACACGATCCTGCGGTCGCCCCTGATCTACGGCGGCTTGGCTGTCTCCCTGGGGCTGGGCGTTCTCACCATGGGCGTTCTACTGCAGGGAGCCAAGAGTCTGAGGAAGCTGCCGGGGAGGTGGCTGCTGCTGGAGGCAGCCTTCAGCCTTCTGGCCGCGGTGGGCTACTGCATCGGCATCGGCTTTTACCTGCACACAGCGCTGCGCATTAATTCCAGCGACACTTGCAAAACCAGAGAGAGGCTCTACGCCCGCAGGGGTCTCACTTGGATGAACTGCCAGCTGGCGGGCACTGACGGGGCAGCAGCCACCTTCGCCTGTCTTCTGGTGATTTTGTACGCTGCCAGCGTGGTGCTGGCCCTGCGGTGCTACCGAGAACAGAAGCTCTCCAAAGACAGCCAGGAACAGCACAGAAACTACTGTGATGTCCCTGAATACGTGTGGTCTGAGACGCTCTAAGGAGACCCTCCCTTGGTCCTCCCCTGTACGCACATGGGTAGACAACCATGATTTCCCATGCTGCCCGAGGCACCTAAGCAGAGTTAAGTTGTAAAAGGAGATCAGTAAATCTGTTGGCCCTCCCCATGAAAGCTTGGTGGTGGGGGGCCATAGTTGTTGTGGCAAGCCTGGGTACAGCCTCATGGCAGGGCTCTTGCCATGTCGTAAGGCGATAGTGTTAAGCAGGAGTCCAGCCAGAGAAATTCTGAGAGCTGGAAACTCTCAGAATTCTAAGCCTCAGAAATCCTCCCTCACGCTGTAAACGGGAAAAGGCATCTCAGGGCTCGAGCTTAGCTGGGCACTGGCTGCTCTTGCAGAGGACTCAGGTTCCCTTCCCAGCACCGATGTGGCTCACAATGGTGCACAACTCCAGCCGGGGACGGAGCGGGGGCTGGGGGGCTGGGATGGGGGTTCCAATTCCCTCTTCTTGACTCCAAGGGCACTGCAGGAGTGTGGTGAGCATACATACAGGTAGGCCAACACCCATGCATAGCGTTTTAAATCTGATGTTCGTTTGTTTTTAAGAGCAACAGCATAGTACTGTACTTGACAGTTGTGGGGGTGGGTTCAAATAAGTAATTGTTTCTGCCTCCCAGAGGGAACTCCTCTGTTGTTGGAGGGTGTCATGGCAGTTCTCCAGCGATGGGGGTTGGGATCCTAACGCAGGAGAGGCTTTTGGTCCTCTTTAGGATTCCTGCCTCAGAACAGAGAAAAGAATGCTTTCTACTAGCTATTCCAAGTAGGTTTGTGGGGGGAGGGGGGCAGGGATAGCCCATTGGAATTAACTTTAGTTTTGTTTTTGTTTTTAAATACAAGTCTTTAGTGGCTAGAGAGATGGCTCAGCAGGTGAAGGCACCTGCTGCCAAGCCTGATGACCTGAGCTTGATCCCTGGGACCCACATGAGGGGAAGAGAGAATGGTCTCCCTCAGATTGTTCTCTGACCTCCTTGTGCACACTGTGGCATTTGCACACACACACACACACACACACACACACACACACACACACGTAATCCTCATGGGGCCTGTCCAAGATAAAGGTTCAAAAGGAAATCTCATGCAGAAGGGTCTGGAGAGATGGCTCTTGCAGAGGACCCCAGTTCAGTTCCCAGGGCCCACATGGCAGTTCACAACGATCTGTAACTAGTTCCAAAGATCCAGTGTCCCCTTCTGCCCTCTGAGGGCACCAAGCACACAGGTTATGCACATACATACAGGCAGGCAAACATAAGATTAAAAAAATCTTATGAAAGAAATGAAGTTCAGAGAGAAATAACCACAGGGAACTATGTATTCTCTGGTTAATATGTCTGCTTCACTTGTTACCTTCGGCCTGAGTATTGACTAGTGTCCCACACTAAGACTTGATGAGTAGCAAAGAAACTTTAACAATAGCCAAAATCAATTAAGTAGCCTTCAACAGAAGATGAACGAACACCCCAACATACTGTCCTCATTATCTCCTGTTGTGCCCACCTTGCATCTTGCACTGGCCTATGTGACTGCAGCCCTGTGCTGGCTCCTCATCTGACTGGAGCCTGTCAGTGACTAATCACACTACCACAAGTCCAGAGTTCAGTGTTGGAAACCCTCTAGCAAACTTGAGATTCGTTGTATGTGGGGAAGGCTAAGACTTGTTCAAAGTCTTAGCTAAGACTTGTTCAAAGACTTGTTCAAAGTCAAAGAAGGGCAAGGGTTGTTCCTCACCAGTGATTCAGTGCGTGACATCATCTCATGGTGGTAAAGAAGCACTTCCTATCTATCGTTCCAGCACTGATGACAGATACTGTTGTTCCTGTTTAATGACAAAAACTGCTTTAAACAGGTTGACTTTCCTACCATCACAAAAACCTCTAAGCAGGAGGGATAAGACTTGGACACAGACTGGAGGGACAGCTTAGCAGTTAAGAGCACTTGCTGCTTTCCCCAGCATCCAATTAGGTGGTTTACAACACCCTATAACGAGCTCCCGGGGACCCAATGTCAAGACGTGGACACACACACTGAAAGAGTGTGCACTGCTAAGAAACAAAGTTTTTAAAATGATGATGCCAGATGAAGAGGAAGCCTGAAAGATGACTCTAACATGACCTTTACTTGGATTGAAAGGTAGCTGATCTTGTTTGAAATCCACAGACTAGAAGACACTCAGAACAGAGGCAGCATCAAGTTAAGAGGCTTAACTGAATGACAATTATCTTGTAAGCCAACACTCACCAAGTCAGAAGTCCTAATGCCCCACCCTTATCTTATGGGAAGGATGCCAACCAGGGCCAGTTAGCTACCTGACCCTTGTGTTACCATCAGCTGTTATTCAAGGAGCTAGAGCAGCTCCTATACCAGTTTCCTCAGCTAGCACCCCCATTCAACAACTATGCTGCCTGTAGAGCTTTTTGAGAGTGTCTCACATAGCTCAGGCTGGCCCCAAACTCATTATGTAGCCATGGCTGGCTTTAAACTCCTGAGCCTCCTGCCTCAACCTCCTAAGTGCTGTAGTTACAAACATGTGCCACCATGCCTAGGTGGCATTTCTTCAAACATAAATCAAAGAAGAATCTTTAATGAGTGAGGTGTACTTTCCAGGAAACAGGTGCTATGGCTTGGTGTAGTCTGGGTGTTCTCCAGGGATCCACCGTCTCTGAAGCTTTGATCCACAAATAGAAGGTGCTCTTGGGAGGTGGGTCTACTGAAAGGTTCTTAGGTTCTAGGAGCATGCTGTGGAGCATGATTGTGGCAGATGGGACTCCTAGGAAGCTCCTGTTTGCTATCTGCAATGATGTGAGCAGCCAAGAATTAAGCTGCTCTACCTCTTCCAAAACTGAGCTAGAAAATGAGGTCAATCTGGCTTAAACATGACCCACACTAATCACTAGGTTTGAGTAGGTCTATCTGGCTGAGCGTTAGCCCCTTCTTTTTCCACTGTTACATGGATCTCTCTGAAAACTTAAGTCTCCTCTAGAACCTCCAAGTAAGCTCTCAAAATGTGAGCTAAAATCTTTCTCTTCACAAACTGCATACACAGACACACACACACACACACACACACTCTCTCTCTCTCTCTGTTATAGGGACACAAAGCTGACTAGTAGAAAAAAATACATGACATTTTCATGAGGGGAAAATCATTCTTTTTAGAGGTTTCCCATGTTCCAGTGGACAGCCCCACACCCCTGCATGTATGGGCAGCACTAAATGGATTCAGTAGGATGTTATAACAAAATGAAGTTGAGACGGGGTAAACTGGAGGGAAAAAAATAGGAGACAGACATGATATTTCCTTGTATACCTGCATGAAGTGCTCAAAAATAAAGAAAACTCGGTGTCATAAAATAGGTTTTGCATATGTTCTTTTCCCCCTAAAGTCCTAAACATACTTTTAGTAAAGAACTTGATTATGCATCTAATTATAGAATATTTATAAAGCAAAGGCATGGAAAAGATATTCTATTTTATTTTATTTATTGTTATTATTATTATTTTTTACAAACAATAGATTTGCTGCAACATGCTCTGGCTCATATTATTGAATTAAAAAATTTAACACATTTCAAAAATATCAAAAATACACTATAATGAGTTTTAGGACTACAATACGACAATGATTGCACAAAAACCATAAGATATGAGCCCACTGTTTGGATGACATCCACTGGCAACAGTGAGAAAAACCCCTTAGCATCTGGGAGAGGTGCGTGAGATTTAGATACAAGGAGCTAACGCTGATTGGCATTGGCTGACCACCAAATGAAGGAACAGAGCAGATGTAATGTCGCTGCTTCTCTCGGTCTAGGGAGTGCTTACCCAAGCACAGGGCAAAGTCCCTACCTGGAGACAATGATTAGCCTTGGGGAGTCCGAAAGGCTCCACCCAGAGGGAAGTAAAAAGTGACACAAGACAGTTCTACAGTGATGCTGCAGACATCACCGGATGGCTTGGAGACAGATTCTTTAGTAATTGGTCTATTTATCGGTAACAGCCAAGTGCTCCCTTATGGAGGTCTCTTCATTAATAATTATTGAATAGATAGAGAAGGTGAGCCTGTGGTTTCCAAGTACCTGCTTTTGCTGAAAGTCTACACAGAAAGAAGAGCACTGTTTGATATTCAGAAGATCAGCCCAATCTAATCACCTAGAAAACAGTACTCATTACACGCACTTGTAATAGCACCCAGAGATTACAAGCTGCTCAGGTGGCTCTCTGTACACCAGGGAAATGAGTTCACTGATTATTGCACATGTATACTCCACAGTAGTATGATCAAGCCTTGCTTGTGTCAGGAGTGGTATGTTCAATGACTGAACTCCATAGCGGCACCAGAACTTTATTTCCTATCAACACTGGAATTTTCAATATCTGTCCACTGGGTTAAAACCTTGGCTGGGGGCCACAGACATTCTTCTTTGTCAGCGAGCCTCCTCCAGAACGGCACCTACAGCCCAGAGTGTTCTTTAGGAGCTCTTGTTTTTGAGGCAGGGACTCATGTATACCAGACTGGATTTGAACTCTCTCTATAGCCAGAATGACCTTGAATTCCTGACCCTCCTGCTTCTACCTCCCAAGTGAGGATTCACCTGGCCTCAGAAATTCTTTTAAATTAATGAAATGGGAGATGTAGGCAGAGTCTCAAGAATCATACAGAGGGGTAGGTTCTCTGTGTGAGAAGTAACCTGTACTCTGGCTACCTAGAGAACACACCCTCTGGGTAAAGGGAAGGGATCATACTCACCTGACAGCCTGTTCAGATAACAACATCAGCAAAGTCACCTCACATCTACAAGAAGTGTGCATTATATTTTAGGAAATGGGCTATGGCCTTTTAACCCTCTGTTTTTTGATACAGAGTAATGACAGGACATGAGGCAATTACTAAAACAGAACCAATAGTTTTGGTTTGGCCTACATTGAGGTTTTTCAACACAACCTAAGGAATCCTGAAAACTCTACCACAAAGGATACTGGAACCCCAGAGTTCCACTAACAAAAGGTAAGTATGTTTACTTTTGTCAAGGTCATTTCAAACTGAATTTTGAGGTGACTTTAGAGGATGAGTGGTAAACAAACAGAGGATAAGAAAACAGTTCACATAGAAAAAGATAATCTTTCTAGGACTATACTACTGAAGTGCCATTTTTTTTTTTCCAAAATAACTCATTTCTCGACATCACACCTTTCTACAGGTCAAAGGTTCTGCTGAGGAGGAGGCTGCCCTACATCATTGGCACCTTGTATTTTTCCTTCATTCTCACTTTTTCTTTTTCTTTTCATTTTTCCCTGTATAAAAATAAGGTGGAAAAATAAGGTGGCAACACAATTTCTCATCTAACACACCTAAACTCTGTATAAGCTACTATGTCTCCACCTCAAATCACAGACCTGAGTTCTAACATTTTCCAGTAACTGACAGTAGTTTGGCAGAAGAAAAGTGTTCCTGATGATGACTTGGGGGCTCAACTTCAAATTCTTGAGGGCTGAACATTAGGCAGCTAATGGAGTGATATAGCATTCTCCCCCCGCCCCCACTCCCAGTGTATCCCACTGACGTGCACATGAGCATGGGGCCTCTGAAGACAGAATCTGGTTTTTAGTATTGCTTTAAAAAACAAAAACTTCCTCCTCAAACACAAAGGAAAAAAAATACACACTTTCAATCTTATATTTAACAATTTGTTTCTATAAAGCAAATTAAAAATGGTTCCAATCTATTTGTTTTAGTTGTGCAATATTCTAAAACTTTAAAAGCACATTTTCCACTGAGTAAAAAATCAAGCAATGCCAAAATTTGTATCAATAAATAAGAATTAGTTTCCTAAGTAAATCTAGTGGAAAAAGCAACAGAAATATACAAGAAGCTATAATTTGCTAGGGTTATGTGGAATGTGAAAAGAAATTACAGGTTTTCTGTAATTTCTATAATTTCAGTTTCTCAGTTGAATAGTCTCTCTTACCCTGGTGTTGAGCCCAGTTCTTTGAACCATGTCAGGAGAATCAGCAGTTTTCAGAAGGACACAGTGTCAAACACTACAGGGTTAGCATTCAACTCACTACCAACATTCTAGGAAAATATCCTGCTCTTGAGAAAATAGAGGAAGTGGGGGGAGGAAGGAGGAAGGGAGAGGAAGAGATGGAGGGAACAAGTCTAACTTGTAAGATATGTCTGCCCATATGTTCCTGTTGCACTCACCTGCTATAATTCAGGGTGTCAGCCTGCCTGTCAAGAGGCTGCCTGCCAACTCTACCACATGTAGGAAAAGAAGCCAATCCACAAGTACCTGCCTTGTGATCCTAGTTCCTAGTAGAGTCAGCTTATCAAGGACAGAGTCTCTTTTTGACTTGGGGAAAGAAGTCTTAGTTTTCACTCCTTCCCCATTTTCCTCCACAGAATAAAATCCTCCCACCCGAAGGTTCTCAGGAGCTTTCATAGTCTGATATCCAACAGATCAATTTCCAGGACCTTTCCAAGTACCCTTAAAAGAGGCTCCGATGCTCAGTTAGCTCTACCTATGGACAAAGGAGCTGGGCTGCCTCTAAGAAGATTGGCTCGAGTGCAGATTCAAAAATAAAAGGTTCACAGTCAATGAAAAGTGCTCTCGTTACATAACATTACATACATAAATTACCTGCCTGATTGGTTCTGCATCTCCAATATACATCATTTGATAGGCTGTATTCTCGTAGAGAATAAAAAGCCATGTGACTAGTCACATCACACCCCACTAGTTAGTCTGAGAGATAAGGTGATTTCTCTTGTCACAGAAATCCATCAGCAGCAATTAGTAAAGGGAATCAACCTTCAGTTACTTCCTCCACAGAAATAGTCCCTTTCCTGCCCAGGCAGGCAAATTCTCAAATGATCCTAGGAGAGAAAGGGTTAATGGCAGGTGGCAGGACTGACACAGAATAACATTTGCTCCCTCCCAGCAACTCTGGGAGTCCAATGAAGGTTCAATTCAAAGCTTAACACTGATAACGGTACTAGCTCACCTAGAGCCAGACCCTGATAGTGCTCAACTTTTTGGCTCCAAATACTACTCCACACATCTACAGTTAGAAACACTGAGGCAAATATCTCCTGAAGTTCCCGTCCCCAAAATGACATAGCCCTCCCTTATGCTGTGCCCACTTGGGGCAGAATCACAGTGCTGTATCAAATTCCTCCAGGGGCTCGGTCTGGTCCTCTTCACTGGGTTCGGGCTCAGGCCTGCTCTCCTGGTGCTGCTTCATCTGCTCCTTCACTTCTTCTTCCAGGTCACGAGGAACAACAAACTGATCCTCTGGTTCCAGCTGAGTGGGGGCAGCAAAATAGCCAGTTTTCCTTTTGGGTGCTTCTGTGGCCACCTCAATGAGGTTCAGGCTGTCTTCTAGTGGCACAATAGAGCCATTGGAGAGTTTCTTTCCATATAGACAGGAAGTGGAGGGAGACTTTTGTAACTCCATCTTGTCTTTGTTCACTGGCAGAAGTATACCACTATTCACACTGTTCTGTCTTCGGATCCCAAAAAACAATCCTCTAGCATGTTCCTCTGAGCAAGGGGTGGAAGAGTTCTTTGGGAGAGTAGGGGAGCTCTCAGGCCCTCTTCCTCGGCAGCAGTGGATATCTACCTCTACTTCGACCCTGCTGCCATTGCTTATGACTCCTTCAACAGGCTGGTCATCATCGCTGTCCAGTCCATTGTCAGACTGGTTGCTAGAGAAAGTAGCACAAGAAGGCTGTCGCTGGAAAACTCCTGAAGTGGGTGTTGGGTGCAGACTACAGCGCCTTTCTGGCCTTGGAAGCAAGCTGGCCTCCAGACCCACAGCGTTATGCTCATCAGAAGCAGTGGAGCCTACTTCACTGCTCACCTCTGAGGTGGACATCTCACTGCTGAACTCTGAGGCAATCCCACTACTAGAGGAAGGTGTGGTTGGCTTGGGGGCATCCTTGATGGTGGAAGTTGAAGCAAATCCCACAGGGCCTGGAAGAGTGAGCCCATTCATTTCACAGGTACAGCCTTCCTCACCAATGTTCAAATAAACCACCATTGCCCCCACATTGTCCTGACAACCATAGCTCTGTGCTAATGTGCACAGCTTCTTAGCAGCGGCTAATGGGTCTTGTACATGACGCACGGCATTGACAGCTTCTAGGTATGACAAGTGTTCCCACAGTGTTTTGTTTCCCAAAATGAGCAATTCATCTTGAATGGTAAGTGGAGTGGAAGATATGTGGGGTTTGGGGAGGATCCACGGATAGAGGTATGTACAGCCCAGCATTCGGGTACAGCAGGTTACACCATTCACCTTGTTGTCCTAGAGGTTGAGAAAAAACAAAATCTGAGAAAAAAAGCAATACTGATATGCAACTCAGTCTTTTTTCAAATCACAGTGTTTAAGGAGAAAAAAGGGTCTGGAATGGGTTTTTGAAACTTCAAAGCCCACCCCCAATGATACATGTCATCCACACATGTCTCCAACATGGTCACACCTCCTAATCCTTCTCCATAGTGCCACTCACTGATGACTAAGCATTCAAATATATGAACCCATGGGGCCATTCTTATTCAAACCACCACAGGATGCATAGCAAAATCAAGTTCATGTTATATTATTTGTCCTAGGAGCAGTGCAAGTGAACTCATGAAATAAATATATAAAAGGGTTTGTTGTTGTTGTTTTGTTTCTTTGTTTTTCAAGACAGGGTTTCTAAATGCATAGAATGTAAAAAAAAAAAAAAAAGTATAGAAATGTAATCAAAATGACATACCATTATTATACCAAAGAATTGAAAGAACTAAAGTTAAATGTAATTAAAATTAAGTGACTAACAGGCAGTACTACCTCAAAAGATGCTTGTTCTAGCATGAAGGACAGACCTCAGTATATCCTTAATAAAAAGTTGTGTTTGAGCTGGGTGTGGTAGCACATGCCTGTAATCCCAGCATTCAGGGAGGCAGAGGCAGGAGAAATTCTGTGAGTTTGAAGCCTGGTCTACAAAGCGAGTCCAGGACAACCAAGGCTACACAGAGAAACCCTGTCTGGAAAAATGGAAAAATGGAAAAATAAATAAATAAATAAACAAACAAATAAATAAATAAATAAATAAACAAACAAATAAATGAATGAATGAATGAATGAATGAATGGATAAATAAATAAATAAGTTATGCTTGAGAAACTATAAACAGAAACTGTCACTAGTTACTCATTGTTTTTTTTCTTTTTGACACCGCAACTCAGATGGGTCACTAAAAAGGATCACTCATTAAAGGCAAATGAAACTAAATAAATGTCAAGTGGGTTGAGACTCATATGCTGAAGTATTAGCACACTCTGAAAAGGAGAGTCTGAGTCTTGCTGTGTGCTGAGACTGAGGCAAGAATGAATGGACCCCTAAGTACATGCGTGTGCAGGTGCCTGCTAAAGCCAGAAGAGGGCGTCAGGGTCCTGCAGCTGACGTTAACAAGTCTTTGTGGGTGCTGGATCCAAAGTCTAGTCCTCCTGAGAGTCTTCTCTCCAGCCCTTTCCTCCTTTCTTAATTAAAAAAAAAGTTCTAGAATAACTGCACACAGACACAAAGGAAAGAAAACTCGTTACAGGGCCTAGTGGCTCCTGCCTTTAATCCTAGCACTCAAGAGGCAGAGGCAGACACAGATTTCTGTGAGTTCAAAGCCAGCCTATTCTACATAGAGAGTTCCAGGACAGCCAGGGCTATATAGAGACTTTGTCTCAAATGCAAAGTAAAACAAAACACATCAGGACTCAGAGCTGGGGAAAATGGTTCAGTGGGTATAAGTACTTCCTACACACATCTGATTACCTGAATTGGCCTCCAGAACCTATAGTGGAAGAATAGACTCCCAAATGTTGTCCTCTGACCACTAACTACATACTACGGATGGACATGTGCACCAATATTCACATATCACACATACAACCAATATAATAGGGAGCAGAAAAACTGTAAGAGCCAGAGGACCAGGACATCTGCTGTAAGATAAGGTCTTCTATCTATAACAAGGACAATGAATTTATGAAATCTCAAAAATATGGCTCCCTAAATAAGACCTGCATGATGACAATTCCAAGTGGCATGCTAATGTAGATGGGAATAATCTCACAAAGGCCCTACCATAAGATGAAGCACTACAGGCAATTAATGGCTAACGAGAGAAGAAGATTCGGTCCTCTTCAGGTACAGGCTCCCAGAGAGGTTGGCCAAGAATAAATTGTCATCTCTAAACACAGAGAGACAGACAGACAGACACACACACACACACACACACACACACACACACACACACAAATGAGCAACATCAAATAGACTTATCAGTGTGTGTGTATAAACGAGTAATTGAAGAGGTCATGAATCTGAAGGGGAAGGGAGAAAACAGAGAAGGAAGAAAGAGTGGTAAAAATAATGTATAATACTCATGTATGAAATTCTCAAGAAAATTAAATTAAAAATTAACTTTTTTAAAGACTCAACAAGATTAATTACAAAAGCAATCAAGCGTTTATGTTTTCTGAAAATTAACTCAAAACAGATCACAGATTCAAATGTAACACTGAAAGCTATACAACTTCCAGAAGATAAAATAGACAAAAACATGAGTAACCTTGGGTTTTAGATAAAACACCATGAAACAAACAAACAAACAAACAGGCAGAATTTCAGCCATTAAAACTACTCAGGACAGGCACATAGTGGGGGCACATGCCAGTAATCCCAGCACTCAGCAGGCAGAGGCAGAAGGATCTCTGAGTTTAAGGATAGGCTGGTCTACAGAATAGGTTGCAGGAAAGCCAGGGCTATACCAAGAAACCCTTGAAAAAACAAAACAACCTACTCAGGTCTAGTTGGGTGCAGTGGCACATGCCTTTGATGACAGCACTCAAGAGGCAGAGGCAGGCAGATTTCTTGTGAGTTCACAGCCAGCCTTGTCTACATAGTGAGTTCAAGGACAGGCAGAGTTGTCTTGAAACAAAACAAAACACCAAACATGTAAACAAACAAAACACTACTCAGGTCTTCAAGATGGCTTAGCAGGTAAAAGTACTTGCTGTGCAAGCCAGGAGATCTATATTTGATTCCTAGAACTCACAGAACAGTGAAAGGAGAGAACTGACTCCAGAAACTAGTCCTCTACCCTCCAAATGAAGGCTGTGGCTGTGTGTCCTCCCCCCATTCACAACATGCATACACACATAATAATAAATAAATAAAATCCAAATCCCTTTTTTGCTAAAGTATGGTTCTCAACCTTCCTAATGCCATGGCCCCTTAATACAGTTCCTCATGTTGTGGTGACCCTCAACCATAAAATTATGTTCATTGCTACTTCATACTATAATTTTGATACTGTTATGAATTGTAATATACGTATTTGTGTTTTCTGATGGTCTTAGGTCGTGACCCCTGTGAAAGGGTCATTTGATCCCTGGAAGGGGTCACAATCCAAAAGTTGAGGACTGCTGTGCTAAAGGCACTGTTTGAAGAATGGAAAGATAAGCCACATACCGAGGAATATTTGTTGAGCACATATCTAATAAAAGACTTCTTTCTAAAATACACATACACACACACAAACTCTTAAACCTAACCATAAACAAAATACCAATCTGATTTAAAATAGGCATAAATTTTCTTGCAGTAAATAATGTTCATACATAACCGTTGCAAAAGCAAAAGGATATGCTAGTTTCTAAAGAGAAACTACAAATAGCTGCCTAACACTTCGTCATAAAGAAAGCACAAGTGCAGTGAACTCAGTGCATTAAGCATAGGAACAATGCTGAGACTGCATCTCAGCAGGTCTTCCTGCTGAGCTGGAGACTCACTGAGGCAGCCACAACCTTCACCTCACCTGCCGACTACTCACTCAAGAATCACCAACTACCATTTCATTTCTGCATTTTGCTAGTCAGTAACTGCTCAGTAGATTTTGCTTTATTTTATTGTGAGACATGGTCTCACTGTGTAGTGCTTGCTATCTAGAAGTCCCTATGTAGACCAGCCTGGCCTTGAACTTGGAGATGTACATCTCTCTCTCCCTTCCCAAGTGCATCAGCACACCAGCCAATAGAAGTTTTTTTGTTGTTTTTTTTTTAATACTGATACTGAAGCCATATGAACTGAACCTTTATCAGGGGATGGACGAAATTAAATAGACACTCTCTGTCTCTATTCTAACAGCTAGATGTAGGGAGGGACATGACTGGCAGAGAGCAGCTGTACCTCTGTTATTATGGCTTTCTGACCCTTCACCCTCTGCGCCTCCTCGGGGTCATGCTCCAGGCTGAAGACTTTAGAAAGGGGTACTGGCTTCCCACCTCGGCACAGGACTGCTTGGCACGTGCCAACGTTGGCTACAGTCAAGCTAAAACTACTTGTTGGGTCAGCAGTGTCAGGTCGAATGTAGCATAGGAGAGCAGAGGACCCCAGCTTCTGGCCAGCCATTCCTAATTTCCTGTGTAGAAAGAAAAGAAAATGATGCCATGGCAACTAGTTTTCTAGAAGAGGTAGCCTCTGACACCCATGGTGAACCACTCACCCTCCTCCACCAGGGCAGACTCTTCTATGATGGTGATGGTGGTAAAGTCTAGCCTAGCACTTCTAGCTAACAAAGACTTTAAAGGGGGGCTTATAAGGCAATACCAACATCTTTCTCCACTGTTTCTGTATCTGATCAGGGATGTCTCTTCTGGAGCTTTCGGACTCCAGTACACCACATGCATATGGAAGGCCTGATCACAGTTAGAGAAGAATATTGGGCCTCGCTCCAACCACAGAGAGCTTATCATTTGGGGCAAGAGGCTGGCTCTGCATGTCTAACAAGTTTCTAGTAAGAATGTTGAGAATGCTGGCCCTGGAATAACAGTTTGAGAAGCACTGGGGTTTTAAGTTCCTTGAGAGGTACCATGGGTCTCCTTGCATTTTCTCCACATCCAGCATCCATGTGTCCAGCACACTGGAGGCAATGTGAACACACAGCAGACAACACCAGAAGAATCTAGTTTCAAACTTCCTTTTTATTTTTGTTGACTGTAGAATCCTAGCAAGTTCTTTCTCTGAGAAATCAAACTGATAAAATTCCTACCTATTTGGCTTGTTTTGAAAGATAAGGATGAAAATTGTCTGGTACAGTACTTGGTCCCTGGCAGATACAAACTTCAGAGTTCCCTTTTCCAAACTGTTAGTCTGCCAAGTCTGCAGGTCAATTCCACTAAAAAACTCCTTTTCCAACACTCTGCTTTTTAACACAAGAGATAAACCAGCTCCTGCTACAAGGGTCTAGTCCTGACTATTCAAGTTTACAATCTCAGTGTTGCATGCTTTAGGACACCTACCTTTGCACTCTCTGCTACTAAGAGAGTCTCAGGAGCTGGAATGTGAGGGTTTTGCTTGTACGTGGCTTTTATGTTAATGAGGAACAGGAGCTGGATAAATCCAAATAAGTATTCTAACACATAAATCTGATGAGTGCTTGTTGGCTTCCTGTAGGTCATCAGCTAACCATGAAGAATCTTAGGAAAGCATACAGCCTTCTTCCCCTAAATGTTCACACACAGTCCAGCACATAACCTTTAGCTAGCCTTCCTATATCCTTAGCAAGTGTGGGCAGATGAATACATGGATTCTTTAAAGAGGAATGACCACCACACTGCTGGTATCAAGAGAAGTAGCAGCATCTCTCTTTGATCCTGCATTTAAAACAATGACCTTCAACTTCTAAGATTTACTTTCTAGGAGCAAAGTGGAGTTAGGAATTATTCAACCCACCTGCTTACCTGTGAGATACCAAGAAGGTATTGGCCATGAAAATTGTGTCATTTGTTGAGTGCTGGACTTCTTCCAAAAGTACATCTGCCATCGTACACTGCAGCAGACGAGGGAGCTCCTCATTCCGGTCCCCATCAAACATTCCGTACACAGCTCCCACCCCCTCTGCAAAGTTATCCATAGCCAGGGCAGACACACAGAGTCTGGAACAAAATGAGAGACAATCACCAGAGGAGGTTACTGGCAAAGACTATTCTTCAGAGAATTTCTTTTAAAAAGTATTAACTGAAGATAGAGACTTAGCATCATGCTAAGTCTATGTCAGTCAGACAGCAGCTCTCACAGACAGCATCCCTAGGCAAGAACATCCAGCCACATTCACAGGCAGTGCACATTAACTTTGCAATACTATCAAAAGCTGGAAAGATACAATGTTTTTTTTTTGGTCATGGTGGTTAAAAACTCATTTTTTCAATATCCTTTAGCCAAAGACCACCAGAGCACACCCGCCGATAAAGTTGGGTTTATTCTCCTTGCCCCAAGAAGAATATTCACCATAGAACAGTGTATAGACAGAAGGTACAAAGAAAAAACTTAGTAAAGGATATGGGCTTTGATTGGACCATTCTGAGAAAAGTCTACAGGAACTGAGGGCCATCTTAGATTGGGGCAACTGGACAATCAGTGCTATTTATATGACTGGGCCTTACTATAACTTTTACAAACAGGAAAGGAAAATTCCATAAGTAAACATTAAGAGTATTTAGTGCTTTATGGACTGCACGTCCATGTTTCTGCTTTCTTTATTATGGTTTTATAAGGATCTGATCTCGTGCTGAAGTTCTGAGACTTATGTTTGGGAAAAAGACAGGACAACACGGTCTATCCCTGAGCAGAGCAGGCCCAGGATGCCATGCACCGCCTCCTCTTTCTTCCATCTGGAGCCAATATACTCACTTATTTCTCTGCCCTGCCATCTCAGCCAGCCCATGGCTCCAGAAGGTTGATGTAAGTGTAGAATCTGTGGTTGGCAAAGGTTTCTGATCAATTTTCAGGGTTGTGATATGGCTATGGGAGGTGAAAAAGAGAAAATTAAATCATAGTCTCTTCTGTATTTTATAAGAACTATTATAACAATGTGTTTTTAGTAAATCATTGTTTGACAGGGTATAATCTATTTCCAGAGCGACTAAATCAAAGTGGGATAATGAATCTGTGGCTTTGATATAAGAGAATAGAAAGTGGTAGGGGAAATAAAATCTAAATACAGTTTCAACTAATGCATCACAAAGATCTCCAGACGTCTTCTTTTTTAAGCAATGACAAGAGCTCTTCAAACAATTCATATGTATTGTTGCTTAGATGTTATAATGTGGCCTCTGCCACCAGACACATCTATGCCCGCCATGTAAAATAATTTAGTGTAGAGCTCAGTAAAAATGAAGCAAAGCAGAGAACCTACGAGTGTTCTGACCTAACCCATTCTACTCCTTTAATTAACTGAGGTTTCCACAATCCAAGAATGATCCACTGATGGCTCGAAAATATAGATTCAATTGCAGATTTTTTTCCTACCTAAACATGTCCAAAGTCTTGTGTTCCAGAACCAGATTTGTATTTCCTGTCAGATCAAGATCTTGTAAAGTAGCAGGCAGAGCCTCTGGAATTAGTATTTCTGTCAAGTCGTTGCAACTCAGGTCTACAAACTGAGAAGAAATAGAGACATCAAAAGAGAATACATTATATTACAATGTCGACTCACAAACATTCACTATTATAGCTTCAAATGGGAACTGAATTTCTTTCCAAGAATGAATTAAGTATACTCAAATTTTAAACTGAGCATGTGAGAAGAGAACACCACCCAGTCTTTATCTCTGAAGAAAAGGGGATTCAGCCACATTCATGGGCAGTACACATTAGCTTTGCAAAGCTATCAAAAGCTATAAAGATATCTGATCATACTGTTTAAGTAGTAGCTCTGTAAATATTCTTTTGCCAAAGACCTCTAGAGCGCACCTGTGGTTAAAGTTGGTTGATTCTCCTTGCAGCAATAGAGAATGTTAACAATGGAATCCTTGGTATATGTAGGGGAAAAGGTTTGGGAAGGAACCTAGTATAGGATTAGGCTTTGGCTTGGCCATCTGGGGGAGGGTCTAAGAAGGTAGAGGACTGTACCCAATAATTGTACCAGTTATACAGTTCAGTCTCTCAATGAATCTTACTGGCAGGGAGAGGAAATTAGCTTAAGAGAAGTCTTGAGAGGGGAAGCAGTCTCATGTACACTCCTTACTTCCTTCTTACAAGAAAGGCACCTTGCCATTCTGCAGTGAGGAGGTCAGGCTAGCTCATGCACGTACCTGAATCTGAGGCAGCTGCAGTATCTCTGGGAAAATGCTGATGTTGTTGGCATGTGCGACAAGAGTGTGCAGCCTTTTGCAGTTTGCTATTGTTGTGGGAATGGCTTTAAGCTTGTTTCCACTTAGATTCAGTTCTTCCAGTTGCTCCAATTTATTTAGTTTGCTGAAAAAAAAGAAACATCAAAACATCGTGCTGCATCAGAGCAGCTGCCAAGTGGCGCTATTTTATAGCCGCCACAAAGTAAGGGCAACTTGATTCACTGCAGAAAACCTTAAGAGAAAGGAACAATCAGACATCAACTGGGCCACAGTTCACTATCGTGACCAAGCCTACTACCTGTCAGCATGATCTGCTCCTCAGCACTCAGTGTTTTAAGGCTGACACTGTCCTTTTCTTATAGAAGCAGCATGAGCATCTTGTCTGAAAAAGTGCTGGCCTAAAGTGCCTTTCCTTGCTGCGCACTAACAAGGCTGCAGAATCCTATGTAAAGGAAGGCTGATGAGCCCTGATTGTGTCAGCCATAAAGGAAAGAAGCTGAACTGAGACTCCTTTCAGTTTTACAGTTCTTGGTGGCAACTTCCCACCACTAACCACAGAGTTCTTACATACACGGCAGTCTGCTCAGGACAAGGCAATGATTTACACCACTCTAATACAAAGCCTTTCACATGTTAAGCAAAATATCTTGTCTCCATTAATAAATTTCTCTGGAAACAATAAATGTGTAAAGTTTGGAAAATAAATAGTACTAGCAATCTGAAAAAAAAATTACTATTACAATTTTATTAAACTTCATACTGGATTTCTCAAAACAGTTTTTAAATTTTATTTATTATTTATTAAGTATTTGTGTTTGTTTGCGTGTGCACTGCCCAGGGGCCAGGTGCCCAGAGAAGCTAGAAGAGGGCGTCAAGTCTTGTGGAACTGGGGTTGTAGATGGCTGCAGTCGTGCACTGCCATGTACACGCTTACATCAACCCCAGGCCCTCTGCTCTCATCTACTGAGCCATCTCTTCAGTCCCTCTCACGCAAGTACCTGATAGGAATTTTCCATCTTACCTGTCTAATAGATCACAATTTCAACTGCTGGGAGATGCACTTTTCAAGTGCACCTCCTCACAAGACACACACCTATACACACATAGAAGAAAACTCACACATTTAATAAGTAAGCTCAGAAAATTATTTCCTTTTGTATTATGTGATAATATATATACACTCAAAGAAGCTAAAAAATGAAGACAAAATAGAAAACTCTTCGTGTGTGTTTGTGTTCAACTTTACATGCGTGTGCAGGTATATGCACAGCTGTGTGTGTAAAAAGAGAAGCCAGGAGTGGACATTTGGTATCTCCTTGTATTGGGTCTTTTTGTTTTGAGGCGGCAGGGTCTCCACTAAACGTGAAGTTCACTGATTGGCTGGACTAGCCGACCTGCAAGCACCAGAGGACCTCCTGTTTCGATCTCCCCAGTGCTGGGATCACAGCTATGTACCAATATAGCTGTCTTTTTATGTGGGTTCTAATGATCTGAACTTAAGTCAAGTTTGCACAGCAAGCACTTTACCAACTGGACTACCTCACCAACAGCTCCCCCAAAATCTTTTAATCCAACTACTATAAATAATCACATAATGAATACTATTTGACAAATGGCTGGATTCATGTTAAAGGCATGAAACAAATTTTCAAATTTAGGGAGAGTTCAAATTTTCAAATTTAGAAAGTGACAAATGCCTATAAATAGAGGATTACACAGTTATCATGAGTTTGAGTCCACTTGGACTCCATCATGACATGTGTCTTTTAAAACTAAAAGTGATATAATTACCCTCTAATTTCTTCTTAAAATGTGTTCCCAAGGGCAATCTTCATTTTTTTTTCTTCTTTCTTTCCTTCGTTCATTCCTTTTTTCCTGACCTCCATTCCTTCCTTCCTTCTCTCCCTCCCTCCTTCCGTCCTTCCTTCCTTCCTGGCTTCAAACTCAAGGAGATCTGTCTGTCCCTGCCTCCCAAGTGCTGAGATTAAAGGTGTGTGCCAACACTGGCAAGCATTTTTTTTTTTTTTTAATGTGCACTGGTGTTTTGCCTGCATGTGTGTCTGTGCAAGGGTGTCAGATCCCCTAGAAGTAGAGTTATGGAGTTAAGCTGCCGTGTGGGTTCTGGGAATCGAGCCTGGGTCTCATTGCTCTTAACCACTGAGGCATCTCTCCAGCCCTACTCTTTTCTTTTACACTACTAGCCTAGGTTCTTTTGACTTGTGATTAGAAACACCCATATCCTAAATCAGCTACTTTGTGATTATACAGCTGAGCCTAGACTGTAAAATCAGAGCTGATAGGCAGTGGATAAAGGAAGGCAAGACTGACTACCTGAATTTGATCCCTAGCACCCACATGGTACAAAGAACATGCCAATTCCTACTAGAAGGTCAGCAAGTCTAGAGTAAGAAACTGTAGAATGGAGCTGGGTGCCGTGGCACATGCCTGTAATCCCAGCACTCAGCGAGGCAAATCTCTGTGAGTTTGAGGACAGCCTGGTCTAAAAAGCGAGTCCTGGACTGACAAGAAACAGTGTTTTCTAGACAAAGCATACAGTCTCACAGCAACTACAATAGTATGCACAAGCTCAAGCTAGATAAAACCCCAGCATCAAAAGGGGAAGGTGAGTAGGAAGTCTTACCATTATCAAATGCCAGGAGCTACGGACATTTGATAGCCTCTAGGAGTCAATTTGCTTTAATGTGAGCCATGTTAGGTTAAACATATACCATAGCATGCCTTACTTTCTAAAACTAGATGAGTCAATAGGTATTTAAAAAAATGAAAAAGAAATCACAAAGTTGGGTGGGAAGAGATAGGAGAGTGTGGAGAGAGTAGCTATGTAGGAATTGGGGTATATATGAATTTGTTCAAGATACATTAAAGAACAGAAATACATTAAATACATTAAAGCCATAGTACCTCATGCCTTTAATCTCAACACTTTGGAGGCAGAGGCAGGCAAGTCTGTGATCTACATATTGAGTTCCAGAATATTCAGGGCTACATATTTATATATACATATTATTTTTGAGGACAATAGGGAAAGAGAATGAATAATACAAAGTATAATGATACATATTCATGAAGATGCCATAATGAAACTCATTAATTTATATTCCGACCTAACAAACTTAACAAAAAAGAAAATGTTATTTTTTTTTAATGATTCATTTATTTTATGTGCATTGGTATTTTTGCCTGCACAGGTGTCTGTGTGAAAATGTTAGGAGCCCTGAAGCTAGAGTTATAGCCAGTGGTGAGCTGCCGTGTGAATGCTGGGAATTGAACCCAGGTACTCTGGGAGAGGAGTCAGTTCTGTTAACTGCTGAGCCATCTCCCCAGCCCCAGAAAATGTTATATTTTTTTAGTGATAGGATTTTGGGAGCGGGTATGGGGAACAGGGTCTTGTGTATTCTATGTTGATTTTGAAATCTCTATGTAGTCGAAATGGCCTTGATTTATGATCCTCCTGCCTCTATATACTGAATGCTGGATTACAGGTGTGTGCCACCATACCTGTTTTATATGGAACATGGGGCTTGTGCATACTAGGCAAGAACTCAAGCAACTGAGTTACTTTCCCAGGCCCATTTTTTTTTTTAATCACATTTTAAAAGATATTTATTTTGTGGCTGGAGAGATAGCTCAGGGGTTAAAAGCATTGGCTGCTCTTCCAGAGGTTCTGAGTTCAATCCCCAGCAACCACTTGGTGGCTCACAACCATTTATACCCAGGTCTGATGCCCTCTTCTGGCAAACAGGTTCATATACTGCACTCATCTACTAAAATAAATAAATCTTTCTTTTTTTATTTTTATTATTTTTTCTTTCTTTATTTTTTATTAGTTAAAGTTTATTAACTCTGTATCCTAGCTGTATCCCGCTCCCTCATCTCCTCCCTGCCCCTTTCCAAGTCCACTGATTGGGGAGGACCTCCTCCCCTTTCATCTGACCCTGTTTTATCAGGTATCTTCAGGACTGGCTGCAAAGTCCTCCTCTGTGGCCTAGCCAGGCTGCTCCTCCCTTGGGGGGTGGGGAGGTCAAAAAGCCTGCCATTGAGTTCCTGTCAGAAATAGTCCATTACCCTTACTATGGGAAACCAATTAGTTACCGAGCTACCATGGGCTTCATCAGAGCTGAGATTCTAGGTTATATCCATACATGGTCCTTGGTGGAGTGTCAGTCTCAGAAAAGACCCCTGTGCCCAGATATATTTGGTCCTTGTGGAGCTCCTATCCTTTCCATGTCATACAAACTCCCCCTTCTTTTAACCTGCACTCTGCTGAAGGTTTGGTTATGAGTCTTAGTAGCTGCTTTGATACACTGCTAGGTAGAGTCTTTCAGGGGCCCTCTGCGGTAGGCTCCTGTCCTGTTACTTGTTTTCTCCTACGTCCAATGCACCTCCCATTTGTCTTTCTAAGTAAGGATTGATCATCTTACCCCGGGTCCTCTTTCCTGTTTATCTTCTTTAGGCGTATAAATTTCATTATGTTTATCATATCTTATAGGACTATATGAGTGAGTATATACCAGGTATGTCTTTCTCCTTCTGGGATACCTCACTCAGGATGATCTTTTCTAGATCCCACATACTGCACTCATCTACATAAAATAAATAAATAAAACTTTCAAAAAAAGATATTTATTTTTTCCATGGACACTGTTTAGGCTTTAGCTAGATGAACTTTCTCATGTCTTCTTGCAGGTACAGATTGCAAACTATTATTCCTCTCTCCTCCAGGCCTAACTCATTTTCCCAAGCTCTTCGCAGTATGACTGGCAACCTGTTATTTTTTTTTTTTTTTAATTTATGTTTTCTTAGGTATCTTGTGGGTATAAGCCACATGTGTGCAGGTGCCCTTAGAGACCAGAAGCATTGGGTCTTTTGGAGCTGAAGTTACAGGTGATTGTAAGACACCCTTATGAGTGCTGCAAATTGAACTTGGGTTTTCTCGAAGAGTAGCAAGTGCTCTTAACCACTGAGCCATCTTTCCAGTACCCAAACTCAGATCTTTAATGTCTTACATTTGTTATGCTGCGTGGAAACCGCCTGGACCAGAGGTTCTGGCTGCCCCTTTGGCAAGCCTCTTATCTCCAAAATTACATTAGAATTCATAACACTAGCAAAATCAAAGTTACGAAGTAGCAATGAAAATAATTTTATGTATGGGTGTCACTTCAACATGAGGAACTATATTAAAGAGTCATAGCATTAGAAAGATTGAGAACTACTCCTAGACACTTGTCTATTTCCCATTCTGACTGGAGGTTCGAGGACAGAGGCAATAAATGTGACACAGTATGTGACATATATTAGGCATTTTATGTAAACACATATAATGAATAAACTATCAGACAACATATTATATAATACAGTGCTGATAAGAAAAACTTAAAAGATTTAAATCTTATTTCATAACCTTGTACTTTTCTGGGTGTAATATCCTTAGATAATTATTAAATATTTAGAACTAAAAAGTAAATACACTTTAACTGCAATTTCTTTGGCTATTCACCCTTGATCATGAACAAATTAAAACAACCAGATGTGCCATGGCCAGACAGCGATAGTGTAATGTAGAATGATGATACTTCTCACTCACTCACCTTGCAGGAAAGGTCTGCAGCTGGTTGTTGGCAAGGTGGAGAATTCGCAGGTGTGGGTGCCCAACCAAAACAGGTATGCACTGATCCGTTAGGAGGTTGTTGGTCAGGTACAGCAGCTGCAGCACACTCAGACTCTCCTCTCCAGCACACGCAGAAGGCAAAGATTCCAGATTATTTGCAGACGCATTCAAGTATCTAAGACTGATGGAACACACATCATTCCCTCTAAGTTTGTTACCTTCCTAAGTTCTACCATCACGCCCTTTGCAACAGGGGATGTTGTTCCAAGCTCTCAAAGTCAAGAATAACTTTGGAATAACCCCCAGGAAGTTTTCTCTGCACCTATGCAACTCAAAGCCCAGTGGCAAGAAGGAACATAGGCATGGAAATTTTTTTTAGCATTCTATAATGGTTGCATGCAAAACCACCTATTCTCACTGAAAAAACACTATTAAATACCACAATATACATCTGAACTATAAAGATGACCTTCAAAAATTTTTGTCTCTTTGTAATAAGTCATTATCTATTTAATCCCACAATACTGATAGTGTATTGACACAGAGTATTTATACTTCTGTACATATATTATTATAGACACTATAAGGAAAATCTTGGATTCTTATCCAATTATATCCCTAGTATACAGCTCTAGAAACAGAATTTATGGGATCAAGGAGTACATGTTTTTTTAATGGCTTTTAAAAAAATATTACCTATTTAAGGTCCAAAAAAGTTATATCAAAGAGGAATTGTGTTGTTTCTTGGCATTTTGGTTAAGGTCAAGTTCAAACTGCACTTAAGCAAAAAGAATGCAATCCATATTTTTATCTACAGTATCATAATTTAATCTTTGTCAATATAATAAGAAAACCATGGTATAATTTTTATAATCTTTCAAATATAATGTTTGTATACATAGTATATGCTTAATGAAAGGAAGCATCATTAAACTTGTATATCTTTGTGTGTGTGCAAACAAAAGGACAGTCTTGTCTATCATCTTCAAAAGATGCTACCCATGGATGGTGACATGGCTTAGCAGGTAAAGGCTCTTTCTATCAATCCTGACAAGCTGAGTTTGAGCCCCAGAACCCATGAGGTAGAAGAGAACTGATTCCAGAAAGTTATCCTCTGACCTTCACATGTATACTATAGTGCTTACGTAAGCATTCTTGTACACATACACACAAAATAATTTTTAAAACGCTGTCTATCTCCTCTGAAATGGGGTCTCCCGTTGACCTGGTGCTTACCAATTAGGCTAGACTAGTTGGCCAGCAAGACCCAGGAATCCATATATCTTTACCATATCTGTGCCAGAATAATAACCATACACTACCATACACTATAGTTGTATATGAGTTCTGGGTAATTTAACTCAGATCCTTACACCAGTGAGGAAAGCACTTTACCAACTAAGCTCTCCCCCTACTTCAGCTTGTGTGTTCTTAAATATCCGTGCTTCGTGATCAGCATCCCTTATGAGCTTTTAAGCTTGTGGAGGATCATGTGGTCCAGCACTGCATTAAGTAGGTGGTTTCTTAATTATCTTCAGTCACTTCCCACTTCATTCTGTGTTACACATAGCTTGTTAATTACGAACTTTAACCTTTCCCAAAAATTTGCCCAGAGGAAAATTTTCCTCAAACAGTTTCATTTCTTTCTTTTTTTCCTTTTTGGTTGTTGTTGGTTTCACTTCCTAAAGATTTTATTTTGGGGAATATCCAGTATTATGGGTTAAGAGTGTACAAGCTGGAAAGTAGAAAAGAAGAACCTCTGGGCTAGAGGCTTGGTTTCATCTCCTGTGACTCTCCTGTGACTCGTCACATCACTACTGCATACCTTTGTTTCCCCCTCTCTATACACCCTTTTTTCCCATTGTAAAGGAGTAAAAGACTACCATTAAAAAGCAATTTTATCGGGCTAGGATCGCCAAATTTTAGAGCACTTACTCAGTATGAGTAATAATAACATAATTATTGAACGTAATCCCTAGCACCACAAAAAAACAATAACAAAAATATCTACTTTTTCTTTAAAGATGACATTTAGGTAAACCTGACTATAAATTTTAAAACAGGAAGACATAACATCTACTTACTAATTTACAATAAGAAGCAAACAATACCTTGTACAAGAATATTATCTTTAAATGCATATTTTTCAAAACAGGTAAGACGTGTTCTGGAAGTCAGGAGACTATAACTCAAAGATTACTTGATGAAGCTAGAATAAAACTGACTTTAGTAATATGTACTTTTTTTTCCTTAATACAAAAGCTGAATTTCATCAAAGGCTCCATCTGAATGCTGTTTCTCTCTGGACACAGTGAAAGCCTGAGTGTTCCCAACCTGCCTGAAATCATTTACCACATAAATAATTAAGTATTGGGTAGTTACTTCAACTTTCAAGTTTATTACAAAACACTGCTATATTTTCCATCATAAAAATTGCGATTAAGTCTCTGCCCAGAGCTGGAGAACTGTAAACATGGACAGGACAGGTCAGCACAGCTCATGGAGGCAATGACTGCTCCTCTGCAGCACTCACTTTAAGGCCTTAGAGAAGAGAGTGTCTGGCAGCCTGGAGAGAGTGTTATGCTGGATGTCCAGCACCTCGAGGGGAATGTGCTCCACCAGTACTGGAAGGACATGGATGTGGTTGTGTCCCAACATCAATTTCCGAAGAGTCAGACTACTCAGAATTCTAAGGAGAAAGAACAGAAAGAAACAAAAGCTCACTTAAATCCTTTTTAAGTAACAGGTCAGTGAATTAAAATCAGTCAACTAACAGAAACCTACTTTAGAATATACAACCACTGACAAGTGACTGAGCCAAGAGAGCTGTCACATACATCACCTAGCAGCTACCCAGAAGTGAGATCTTCAACACAAGCAGCACAAAGTCTAAACCAGTGGTTCTTAACCTGGGGGTCGACCCTTCCACAGGGGTCACCTAAGACCACTGGAAAACACAGGTATTTATATTATAATTCTTAACAATAACAAAATTACAGTTATGAAGCACCAACAAAAATGATTTTCTGGTTGGGGGTCCCCACAACATGAGGAACTGTGTTAAAGGGCACAGCGTTAGGAAGGGTGACAGCCAGTAAAGCAGTGTCTGGAGTAAACCTATCTTCACTTGTCTAGACAGAATTTACCAATTCTCCTCAGTGTGCTTATTAACATAATTCCATAACGAAAACTTTATCACAATAAAAATGATTAAGGGTTTAAAAATGTGCTATGACCAGGCCATTAACAATGAAATCCAAAAAGAATGAGTAGTGGCTTGCCAAAGACTTAGTGATCTGCCAAAGTTCTCACAGAAATGGTGATATCGTCTTACTCCAAAGGTTTGGTGCAGGCCTACTGTGCTACAAAGCCTCCAGGTTAACTTTAAAGACTTCACAAGCATACAGTTTAAGTATCTGGAATATATAGTGCAATCTCCTCACCCTACCCATCAAGTACCAATCTCTCCTTCCTCAAGTTAGATAAATCTTGCCATCTGGTAAAGGTCAATTCAAATGTCATTTTACCACAAAGCACTCTCTAAGTACTTAGAGTTCTTCTGAACTTGTAAAACAATTTGTAAGTGTCGTGATTAAGAATACGCCTCCAGGGTAAGATTGTTACATTCAAATGCTAGCTCACCAGGAGAGAGCTACCATGGACAGGTTACCTAAGCATTCTTAGTTTAAAGGATTAGGTAAGATCATAAAACTGAAGTTCTTAGGAAATTTCCAGCTCATAACAACTCACCCTATAGAACAGGTATATTCATACCATCATGCCACTAACCATGCCAGAAACTTTCAGCACATGTTAGCAGTTATGTGTGTGTACGTCACACAATCTTACTAAGCTCCTTGTAGGCTAAGACCATGCTTTAGTCATCACTATATCCCTTATAGTACATCCCTTATAGTACCTCCTACTCGGAAGGTCCTTCCTCAACAGTCACCAACAAATGAAAGACAACCTAAATTTAGAAATACTTAAACACATATATTATATATGCATTTATACATACACACCTCACAGGAACCTCTGTAAGAAGATTGTAGCTCATATCTAGTATTTCTAGCTTTTTTGCTTCACAGGCCCAGTCAGGGACACACTCTAGCAGGTTTCTGAAAAGAATAAGAATCATTTTGTTATGTAAAAAGTTACTATGGCTTCGACATTAAATGTTTTCCCCAAACACAAGTTATTGCAGTTTGTTCTAGTAGCCTGTGCTGCTATTATAAATTGGTAGGTAGGACTGGAGAGATGGCTCAGTGGATAAGAGCACTGGCTGCTCTTCCAGAGGACCGGGGTTCAAATCCCAGCATACACATAGTGACTCACAATCATCTCACACCCAGTCCCAGGGAATCTGAAACCCTCTTCTGACACTTGTATGCACCAGGCATACATGTGGTATTATAGATATACACACAGGCAAAACACCCTTACACATAAAATAATAGTTAATTTTTAGAAAATTAATTGGTAGAACTAAGCCAGGGTGATGGTTCATATATAATCCTAGCACTTGGGAGGCTGAGGCAAGCACGAACATCATGGGTTAAATATGGAGACTGTCGTAAAAAAACAAAAACAAAAACAAAAAAAAACAGAAGAAAGACTAAAGAGGGAAGGAAAAGGAGAGACGGAGGAAGAAAGAAAGAAAGAAAAAAATGAAAGAAGGAAGGAAAAAAGAAGGAAGAAAGAGCTTGAAGGAGATCTGGCCTCTCCCTCTCTGCTTCTCAGTTGTCAGGAGGTTAGCCACTGTGAGCTGCCACCATAAATACAACATTACCTCACCAGGAACCCAAAGTAACATTCATTAAGTGGCCATGGATCTGAAACTGCAAGCTAAAAATAAACTTTTCTTCTTTTAAATTGCTTATTTCAGGTATTCTTGTCATAGTTATGAAAATCCAAACAACACACAAATGGAATTCATTTCACTAAACTCCACCGTGTGTAATAAGTCACATATAAACACCTTAGGACAGCGACACTATATCCAAGGAAGTCTCTTGGATACTGCCAGAAATACAGTTATCACTCAGAAAATACTGTTAAAGAAGGGTAAAAGAGACAATTACTCAAATGTGCACAGCAATATGTACCAGCTGTGTTACATCACATGTTCAGAGAAGACTTCGAACAAAAGCAGCAGGGTGTAGTAAAACAAAATGAGAGGTGATCTGGAGGAAGTGGCATCACAGATGATCAGGAATTCCATGGATAATGACACAGAGAAAAGAAAAACTGTGAGAAAACTAGAAGGAATAACAGTGAGAAAGTAGAGGCAGAAGGCACTCAGTAGTAGGGCAAAGTTTCAAAGCACTGGAAACGTGAACTTGAAGCATTTAATACATCTCTTCATCAGAAAGACTTCCACTGTCAGATGTGACTACCCTTTCTAGATCTCAAGGTCTAGAATTGAGATCAGTTACGTGTCAGAATACAGTGAGAGCTATGTAAGAGAAACAGACGTTGCTCTCACAGCTTAGTGAAGAGAACACTTTGCCTGAAACAGACCAAGACAACTTTGCTAAGAAACATGGCATCTGAGTTAGAGTCCAGAGAACATTATACTGCGACCTTACATGAAGATACTCCAGCAACGATGCCAACATGAGTCAGAGTACAAAGATAAGGCAAGAAGGAGTGTGATGCCTGAGGGAATGCCAAGCAATCTGATAACGCTGCAGCATGAAGTGATGGGATACAGAGGCGAAGTTAGGCTAGAACCAGATCAAAGCCATGTCTGGAAAGTTCTTACTTGATCCTACAGGTATAGGAGATACCTCAAGGGTTTATAAGCAGTGTACAGATAACATCAGCTTTGTGCTTTAGATAGATTATTGGTAAATGAAGCCCTGTTAAGATGATTCTGTCAATAAAAAGAAGAATAATCAGAAATGATACAAGCCTAGAGAGAAGAAATTCCAGAAGTGCTAAGGGAGCAAAAACGGCAATGACTTGGAGGAGATTAGCTATAGGAAGGAGCAGAATAAAGGATGAAAGCTATTTTCAGGCTTCTGGCCTGGATGGCCAGGCATATGACAGTGCCAAGTGTGTACAGACACAGGAAATAAAACTGGTGCAGTGGGAGATGAATTTAATTTTGCACAGGTTTCAGGCTAGGGATGTGTATAGCAAAACTAACTAGTGAAGACCTGGACAGATGAGCCTGACCTGAGAGAAGAGGTCTAGAAAACTGGTTGATGCCAGCACTTTGTGGTGACTGACATCACTGGAATCAGTGACACTGCATCCATAACAGCACAGTATTGAAAGCAGACCTGGGGGTGACTGCTGTAAGAGAAAACAGAACCAAAGAGAGAGAAGCAATGACTAAGCTAGCATTAAAAAGAGACTGTACTAGCCAGTTTGAAAGATGTTTTAAAAAGAGAGAGCAAGTGTCAATAGAGAAAAAAGTGAATTAAAGAAGGCATAAAGTGAGCTGCTGTCAGGATAAGAAAATGGGAAGTAAGGAAATAGAGCTCTTGTGAGAAATTCAGACAAAAAAAGTGAAGATGGTGGTTACACATAGCATGAGGGCTGTGGGATTAAGTAACATTTTGTTTATTCGGACAGAAGAGATCCAAGTCCCTTACTCTCCCAGAAGCTCCTTCCTTTGGCCACACAATAGTTCTCTCTCCCTCTTCCTTTACTCCCTCCCCCCAAATCAAGACAAGTGCCACCCTTATGGACAAACTCACCGGGAGAGTTCCAAAGAAGTGAGCAGGCTGGGTACTGGGTAGACATTCACTGCTGTCAGCCCTGTGAGAAAAACAACATGTTAGCAATGTTCTCAGGAGACAGAAGAAGGAAGAAGAGGAAGAGGAGGAAGGGAAAGAGGAGAAAAAGGAGGAGGAAGAACTTCTGGATGGGGCTGGAGAGACGGCTCATGGTTGAGAGCAGCTACTGCTCTTCCAGAGGGCCCGAGTTCAGGTTCCAGCACCACAGCAGGCAGCTCTCAACAGCCTCTTAACTCCCGCTTCCAGATCGGATGCTGCCAGACTTTTTGAGCAACTGCACATTCCTACACATACATACGCATTTTTTTCCTTAAAAGGAAGAACTGGTAAACAAAGCAAAAGTGTCTTTATGGAGATGACTACAGATAAAACTACGGCAACTCACTCTGACTACTGTTTAGTCTGTCTTTGAAAACACAGGCAACTACTAACTGTGGGTCTTGTGCACTTACACTACAGCAGGCAGACGCTAATGTTAACAGTACACTGAGTTCGTAACTTGGAAAATTAATACCTGGATATTAAAAAGAATATATTTTAATTAAGTGTGTGTGTGTTATGAACATACAGTGCAGGAGCCTTCAGAGGACATAGGTACTGGATCCCCTGGAGCTGGAATTAACAGCCAACTGTGTGAGAGCCTAATATAGGTGCTAGGAACTCTCCAAGAGCACTGAGAACTTTTAACCACAGAGCCATCTCTTCAGCGCCAATATCTGAAATTTTAGTAAAAATAATTTTACTTTTAACTGAAGAATAATGCAGATAGAGAAACAATCTTAAGTATTGCACACACTAATGCTCACATCATCAAACAAGGTATTACCAACTCCCAGGAGAATTAACCCTAGTGGCCTAGCAGACAGATAGAGCATTTCTTCATCTCCTCTTCTAGCCACTACCCATTCAAAGATAACATTCTCTATCCTGGCTCCAAATACTAGACAACACTTGCTATTTATAAAACTGAAAATTTCCTCTATGGCCCACTTCCACAGGAGCTCTTTGGGCAGGCCAAGTGGTCTTGAACTCATAAACCCACCTTACCTCACCAAGTACTGGGATAAAAGGGTACATGATGTCTGGGGATGTAGTTCAGTTGGCAGTGCTTACTTAGCATGCAGGAGGAACTGGGTTCTAACCCTAGTACTGCATAAACCTAGCATGGTGGTGCACACTTGTAATCACAGGGATACAGATACTTTGCTGTGCTTGGTTCATTTTGAGACAAGGTCTCGTGTAGCCCAGGCTGTTCTTGAACTCGCTATGTAGCTGAGGATGGCCTGATCCTCTTCTCTCTTTCTGGTATATGCTTTGATCTGACTTCATTCACTCCACATCGTGCTTATGGCATTTGTTCATACTATTGCATTTGGCTATATATTTTTTAATGTTCTTTCTTATGAATATGAAACAGACCAGAGAGACGCATTCCTTCCTAGGGCACTGAAGGGTTTTGAACTTTGTTATAGTGTTATAAAATCTGGCAAAAAGTACTACTAGTGTTACTGATGCTATTTAAGCTCTTACAGTAAACATTCCTTCTGATGTTCATTTTCCTATAAATATGCAAAGGTGTTGGGAGGTAAGGCAATCTGGTGCCTTTTTTGTTTCTGTTTTTGTTTTGTTTTGGGGGACAGGGTTTCTCTGTGTAGCCTTGGTTATTATCCTAGACTTGCTTTGTAGACCAGGCTGGCTTCCAACTAACAGAGATCTGCCTGCCTCTGCCTTCCCGAGTGCTGGAATTAAAGGTGTGTGCCACTACACCCAGCATGCAATTTGGTGTCTTAACTGGCAGAAACTGGACTCTCCCTTGCTGCCCCTGACTGTGTTAAGCAAAATGAGTATCAGCCAGCCGAAGGACTTTAGGCCAGCACTGACCTCTAGGAACACACCTCAGAAGCCTGAGGGAAGTACATGACAACTATACTGTTATTTGCTGCAGCTCCTGAAGGGGGGGCTCCTCAAGTGACTGCCTCAAGCCGGGACTGGTTGAAACCATTTACATGAAACTTTTTATTGTCACAAGCCTTGATGAATCCTAAATGACTCTGTGACCATTCTTACCTAGGCCAGAAAGAAACACTTAACCCTAGTGGCCTAGCAGATGGATAGCTAAGAGTGGTGTAAATACAAACCTTACTTTGCATGAGAGGTTTGCTGTGATTGCTGTAAGCACTATTCTCTGGCTATAAGCAAGAGCACTTGATGAGCCGGCTTGTAGACACAACATTTAGCCCTAACACAAGACTTCTCTCAAGTTATCTTTTCTTGTCTCCTTTACCAGAGGAGGCTAAGCTGATACAAGGAAAGCAGCCGCAGAGACAGCAGAGCAACAGTGGTGGCTGAGGCAGTACAACATGACAGTGGAGCATGCTAAGCTGTGATGGTAGCAAAACTGTGGCTTCCTGAGAGCTGAAGAAGCAGCTAAGGAGAGTGGCAAGCCTGGCAGCCAGCAGCAGCAGCAGTAACAAAAGGGCAACAGCATCTGTTTACTGTGACATTGACCAAAAAGAGGCAGCTGAGGGAGGACCCAGGCTAGGGACAGGAGTGGCACAGGAAGCACAGAGAAGGTAAAGAGGGTAGAGATCTGAATTGGAACAACAACCGAGGCTATAAGGAGGCAGAACAACTGCAGGCCTTGGTTACTGGAAGAATACCAGAGAGCTGCCACGTCTTCAGACACCCCAGATCTGGGAACTGTAACAGTGGCTGCTATCAGGGGATGAGGATTCCTGATATTTAGGTCTGTCTCGAAGCTACAATACTAACTGCTGCCACAGGCTGAGGAATCCTGACTTCCTAGGCAACACATGTAGGGCTAAGGGCCCTACTACCAAAGACCTGTGTGAGAGTTGTAACACTAGAGGGAGCCACCAGGCCTGACTACCCAACTGCCATGCCATGGGATATAAAAGTTGCTGAAGCTAGCACCTGAAGACAGCTCCTCTTTGTCCAGACATGGTTTCTATGTGGTTGAACATAAGGACCCTCCCAGCTGACTGGCAAATACACCATGACTACTCAGTTTAAGATTGCTGGACATTTACGGCTTCTCCAATTTAGAGTGACTACAAATATCTTGTCCATATACATGAGAACTAATCCACACACACAGAAGGTGATTATGAGCCAAGAGAGGAACCTTGGGTATACCAGACAGGGTTAGTTCTAGTAGATGCACTAACCATTTTCAAAGTGGCTGTATTGATTAGCTGTCATAGCATCAATGTACAGACAGTGGCAGTTAACACTTAGTACATTTGGTTGTTGTTATTATTGCTTTAGCTTTCTTAAGGAAAAGGTAGGCAAAATAGTATTTGGCTTTGTAGCTCAGGCTACCCTGAAACTTTGATCTTCCTGCCTCATCCTCCCAAGTACTGGCAGATTACAAGTGTGGACCACAACACCTAGTTTTTACTCAACAGGCATTTTTTTCTCTTATTATTGTTATACTTATTTATCTCTGCACGCATGTATGTCTGTATCTATAGGCAGGTGTCATGTGGAGGCCAGAGCGCAATGTGTGGGAGCTAGTTCTCTCTTTCCACACTGTAGGTCCAAGGGCTAGAACTCAGGTCATCAGGCTTGGTTACGTTAAGCTCCATCACAGAGCCATCTTGTAGCCCTGCTCGGCAACTGGACCTTTTGACTCAAAAAACTAATCTAAACCATGAGTGAAGCCTCTATAACATGATGAAAGACAACAGAACTGAGTCCCTAACATCTTTTATCCTAATAACATAGACACAGAAAAGCAAAGGAAAAAACCAATAAGCCCCTTTCCACTATCATCAGCTAGCTCTTAACATGTGGATATCTACCTTATATGCTTTGCTTTAACACCAAGAATCAAACATCATCCTGAATTTTTATCATTTGTGGCATGGTTTTAAACCTACAGAATGCTGTTTCTGTGTTTACGTTTTGGCATAACTTATACAATACACTATGATCATGAGGTTTTTCTTTCTTAATCAAAAGCTGTTTCCAAGACTTAACTGCACCAATACAAAAAGCTTCATTTCCACTACTGTATAAAACCTATTGTGTAAATACATCATTGCTAATTTACCCATTTTCCTGTTAAAAGTCCTTTGCTTTCACCATGCTACAACACTGTAACAATACCTCTATGTGTTAGTAGCCCTGTGATAAATGCCAGCAGAAAATCACTGTTCATACAGATGTGCCACTTCTCTGATAGGACCACCTTCTTCTGAGGTGGTTTCCTAAGTCACTGGCTCTGGCTGAGGACTCCAGAAGATACTGAGTCTAGTCTCTGGTTACATTTAGCACTTTCTCTTTTGAATGTGATGATTATAAAATATTATTTAAATCTTCATTTCTGGCAATTGGTGAAATTAAACATTTTCCCTTTCCTTTCCTTCCCTTCCTTAAACATAGAAAACTGCCAACCATGCTAAAGCACAACTACAATAACAGTATTTGGGAGGTTACATCTGGGGCTACAGTGAAACTGCTTTAAAACACCGAAAACCAAAATAAAATACATAACAAGCCTAACTGGCAAAAAGCTCTCCATAAAAATGGCCTCTGTCTGAAACAGACAAACAGTAGTTTCTACACACATAAGGTCTTACACGTTGAAAAACATTCCTACAGACCCCTCTAATTGCTGAGATGAAGATAAGCTCTGCGCTAAGTCACTCCACATTGTGTGAACAGTGGTTTTTCAGGCTGGGCACAGCAGCTTTGACTCCATTTTGAGAGAAGATAAATCAGCCCCATGGGTGACCCAGATGTCAGGTTCCACCCATGCAGTCCTGGTGACAAAGGAAGCTACTCTATAAGTTTATTAGCATTAGCTGAGACTGTAGTGGCACAGAGACATATTAAAATCACATGAGGAAAACCAAGCCCAATAACTTATTGGACATCCCAGGCCAGGAAAAAGAGTATAACTCCCTTACCTGGACTCCATAAAGAGTGTGTGTGTGTGTGTGTGTGTGTGTGTGTGTGTGTGTGTGTGTGTG